TCACCCCCTTCTTCGCGGAGCACACGGTGCACCTCGTGCCCCTCCTGCGGAAAGGGGTGAAGTGGACCTGGACCGCCGAGCACCAGACCGCGTTCGACCGGCTGAAGACCGCCTTCCTCGATACGGTGATGCTGGCGTATCCAATCCCCGGTGCGGACTTCCTCATCCGGTCCGACAGCAGTGACTATGCCATCGCCGCGGTCCTCAGTCAAGTTGACCCGCGGGACGGCGAGGAGGCTGTCATCGCCTTCATGAGCCGGACATTGAAGGGACCCGAGACCAGGTACAACATCTGTGAAAAGGAGTGTCTTGCTGTCGTGGTAGCCCTGCAAAAGTGGAGCGGACTCGTCCTCGGGTCCAAGATCACCGTCGAGACTGACAACAAATCCGTCTCGTTCCTGATGAAGTGCCGACTCAACACGGCCCGCCTGTCCCGGTGGGTCATGTTCATGTCCAGTTTCCGGCTGACGGTGCGCCATATACCGGGAAGTACCAACGTGATAAGCGACATACTTTCTCGTTTTCCGCCACCTGAGCACGGGCACCCCGACGGCGCCCACCGGGACGACATCATCCTGGCCCGAATCGCCACCGAGGAGCAGCCGATGTGTGACATCATCCGCCGGCTCGGCCCTGCCCAGCGGGCGGACCCGGAGACAGCGACACTCATCGCCCTGGTGGAGTCCGGGCAGCTCCCCCCCACCACCACCATGACCCCGGAGCGAGCAAGGAACTTGGCCAAGCACCACCTCGTGTTCGGCGGGGTGCTGTTCCGCCAGGTCAGCCCGTCAGTCATCTGGAGGGCCGTGGTCCCTGCAGCCCTGCAGAGCGAGGTCGTCACTGCTGCCCACATGTCAATCGGGCATTTCGGTGCCCGCAAGGTGGTCGCCGTTGGTCTAAAATAATATTCATCGACGAGACATGGGCAAATGCAAACGATTGCCACCAAAAGGGGTGGACTGATCGCTCGGCGAGGGGCTCGATGCACATCCCCCCCGGCAAAGGCAGTAGAATAATCGTGTGTCATGCGGGTGGCGCTCGCGGTTGGATCCAAACCCCACCCCCTATATTCAGATCAAAGAAAACCGGCGATTACCACGAAGAAATGAATGTAGGGGTTTTTGAGGACTGGTCGGGTCCAAAACTAGGCTGTTGCCAAATATCGATTCCGGCTCCATCATAGTCATGGATAACGCGTCTTGCCACTCCAGGCAGCTCGACAGGGCGCCAACGGGAAGAACTCTGAGGGCTGACATGATCGCTTGGCTGAAGAGGCACAACCTCTTGGAAGACGAATGCAAGCGAAAGGTTGAGAAGTTGCGCAAAATCGAGCTGTTGGACCTGGTAGGACGGAAAAAAACCCAAATTCCAGAGTATTTTATTGACAGGTTGGCGAGGGACCACGGCCACCGCGTCATCTGACTACCGCCCTACCACTGCCATTTCAACCCAATTGAAATGGCATGGGCGCAGGTGAAACACTATGTTAAGGGGAACGACAACAGGAGAACGGTGACCCAAGTGGAAGAGTTGTTTCGGCAAGGCATCGATAAAGTGACCCCTCCCTGACACCTATACTAGAAGATAAGACCTGGAAGGCCACAATCCGAGCAGCTATGAGGAACAAGTCTGATGCAGAAAATTGGCTACCAAGTGCGGGTATGACGAGATACCCGCAGTACGGGAAGTGGAGCTCAATAATCAGTTGGTCTATGGTCTACGCTACGCGGAAAGGCGTAAGGCCGCCTTGGGCGCCGGTGCTTGGGCCCAAACAAAGGCGGCCGTGATTGCAAGTGAGGCCTCGCGTCTCAAACTCCGCGCCCTGGCCTTGGCCCACAACAATGGCCAGGCTAGAATACATCACATTGAATCTTCAAACAACGGAAGAAATCAGCAGGGATAACAAGCAGCTGCTGGCCGTGGACACAGCGGCGCCGGTACGCCCAAGAATCAGCAGGGGGCCTAACTCCTCGGGCGGTTCGCGCCAAAACGGAGCTTCGGGGACGCCGCCGGCAGGGCGCGCTGGTGGCGCGGCCGGGTCAAGTAGTAGCGTGAACCAAATTGTAGTGAACGCCCCGGAGCTGCCTGCGGTGGGAGAGCCATACGATCAAGAAGAGCCCAGTGCGGAGAAAGACGCTGAAGCACAAGCGCTTCTAGAGCGTCTGCTCTGTCTGTAGGAGCAAGTGGGTTTCAACGAGTGTCCGGGAGGTTGGTGTGCGGAGGCAGGTCGGATGTCGTCCAAAACGTCTTGATTTTGAGTTATACAGACATAGATCAATGTAAATTTAGTTGTTAAGCCATCTTTCGTGTGATTTTCAAGTTCCAAAGTACAATTTTATTGTTATTAGTTAGGGTTTGGGGTTGCATTTGCAAATTCTGGGATGGAACTCCTTTTTGATGCTTCCCGGCTCCTCGCTTGCCGGCATCAATTGCAAGTCCCCTAGTCCATCACGAGGTGTTTGTGTTTCTATCCACTAGCAGCTGTGCACCGTTGCTAGTGGAAGTTCTCGTGGATAATGTAAATTTGGCTATGGAAGTGGACACCGGAGCGGGGGCATCCATCATCCCCCTGGATAAATTCAAGTCTTTGTTCCCTCTTGTTAAATTATCACCTAGTCCTACAAAATTGTCATCAGCTTCCGGCGACATTAGAGTCAGTGGAGAAGTTAATGTCTGCGTATCTAAAAATGGCATTACCAAAAATTTGTCTTTGTTTGCCAGGACGCCAAATTGTTAAATCCGTTATTAGGTCGTCCTTGGCTAGACGCTTTGCTCCCGGGTTGGAGAGATGTTGTCCATCAACCTGTTTTAATTTCTAGTATTAGTGTCGCTGTGCCCTCAGTGGAGGAGTTACGGGACATGTTTCCCAAAATTTTTGATGTTAATAATGATGATCCTATAGTAGGGTTTGAAGCAAGATTGCTATTGCAAGAGAAGGCTGCGCCAGTGAAGCATCGGGCATACAAGGTCCCGTTTGCCCTCACTGATCCAGTAAATGCTATTGTTGTCAAGATGGTTGATCAAGGCAAGGCAGTCCACGTCAGGCATGCCGAGTGGGCTTCGCCATTGTTTCCAGTTCCGAAGAAAAATGGCGAGTACCGCCTAGTGGTGGATTTCAAGAAGACTTTGAACCCTCAATTGCGGGTAGACCACTACCCTATTCCCTCTCCAGAGGAGATCTTTTCGGACATTTCTGAGGCTGCATACTTTGTTAGTTTAGATCTTAAGGATGCGTACATGCAGTTGCCCCTGTCCAAGGGGTCCCAGGAGTTATGTATCATGAATAACCCTAGAGGGTTTTACAAATTGTTACGACTGCCGTTTGGTATTGCTTCTGCTGCCGCAATTTTTCAGTCTGTCATGGAAGAAATGGCAGCATCAATAATGTAAAGGTTTATTTGGATAACCTGTTAATTCGTGGTGACTCCTTGGATGCGGTGGTTAAAATTACTTACATGGTTTTGGCCCGTCTGGAGAGACACAATGTAAAACTAAATTTAGATAAGTGTGAATGGTTTGTCGACAAATTGGAATTTTTAGGTTTTGTTTTGTCTAAACATGGTCGACAACCTTCACCTCATTTGTTAAATGCTGTTCAGAGTTTTAAATCCCCTATTAATGTTCAGCAAGTTAGGTCCTTTTTAGGCCGTGTGTGATCGCAAGCAACAGAACAATGTGTTACGAAGTGTTCAAGTACCGTTTGGACACGTCCGAGGACTTGGAGATGCTGTTGCATATGTATCGCCCAGCAACGAGGAGTGAAGTTTTGCGAGAGATTGCGATCTTTCGGTCTGCACCAAAGTGGCGGTCTGAGAAGCAGTCTACCGAATTTCTGTTCAAATTTGTGGAACGAGTGCATGCCCCTAACAAGGGAAGGTTATTAGGTGGTACACACCAATTTCGCTGGGCGCGATACATATTGCAGGGGACATATGTGCATTAAGATTGGCACCAGTTTTAGCTGCCCATACTATGTTTTTCGTTTGTTTTGGACAATTTTTAGTAAGAAAACATCATAAAAGCAGCAAAACTGTGATCTTCAAATGCCTATATCTCCGGAACCATTTGAGCTACACCGCCCAGATTTTGCACTGTATGGGCAGCTAAAACTGGTGCCAATCTTTATCTACATATGTCCCCTGCAATAAGTATCGCGCCCAGCGAAGTTGGTGTGTACCACCTAAAAACCTTCCCTTGTAAGACACCTAGTGGGGTATTTGAACTTTTGAAAGTGAGAGTGCCGAAGCATTATGGCCTGGAGATCAACCCAGAGCTGTTCACCGTCTCGGAGCTGCCCGTGACTGTGCTGCGCACATCCAGTGCGCCGCCATCTTCGTTGTCGCCGCGGTCCAGCCCGTCTCCGAGCCCGCTGTCCCCAGCCCCCAGGGGTCCGCGTTCGACGGGGCTGCCTGCCCCGCCGTCCCACCCAGCCCCGCCGTCACCCGACCTGGTTGGCGCGCCGGAGCCCAAGGAGGCCCTCGCCCAGTCCGCCCCCGCCCTGCGCGCCGCCCCGCGCGCCAGGGACGAGTGTGTGCAGCACCCGCGCCCGACGTGTCCGCGGTCCCGCGCGGCGCTGCTGTGTCCCCTGCAAGTCACGTCACCGGGGCCCCACCGGCCCTGTCGCCTGCCGCCGAGCCCGCGCGCCCGCGCGCCGCGTCAGCTGAGAGGCCCGCCGCCAAGCTCACCAAGGAGCGGACGTGGCCGACGAACAGCGTTGGTCGCCTCTCGGAGGATCTTGCGCAGGAGTGCAGGTGAAACTTTTGCGAGCCCGTCCCATGGGCAGCCTCGCGTATACCGGTCGAGCACATGCAGCCGGACGTCCCCGAGGCCTTGCTCGTCGACACGGTGACCCCGCTGCGTAGCCTGGTCGCGCCCGTGCAGTGCGACGTCACCAAGGTCCAGTCCATCCTGGCGACGGCCCCTCCCAGTCTGGCCGTATGGGGATGGCGATATGAGAAGCTCGGGGAAGAGGGCGCTCGTGGGCTATCAGTTCAACGGCTAAGTGCGCGATTCAAACTGCGTGTGAGGCTGGAGGTGGGGGCGGCGGCGAGGTGGGCGAGCCGCCGGGCCCGGTCCGGCCCGACGGGGGCGGAATGCAGCAGCACAGCAACGGTACATTTGCGCGCGCGTAGCAGGTGGAGGGTAGCTTGTTAATAATAGAGGAAATATCTGCTTGAATTCAATGGATAAACTACCAGAAAGTACTATCATGGGCATGAAAGTGGAAGAACTGAAGAAAGAATTAAAAAATAGAAATGGCCATGTCACTGGGAATAAAAAGGAACTACAGAGCAGGTAAATTGTTGGTGGTGTTTTTGTAAACTAGCTATATGTACGCCAGACCACGTCTCGCGTAACAGGCTCCGCGATATCTCACGAAACACTGTTACGCTGCGACGCGCCTGGCGCACATATAGCTATGCCTGCGGCGCTCATATCCGAGACGAGTTAAGAAGAGGGTATAGGGGAACAGTGTCTTCCGGGCCCAAAATTTGACATACTCGAACCATTTCTCGGGGTCTTCTTACTTTAAAATTAGGGACAAGAAACTTCTACTGTTCGGTAACGGTTTTCATTAAAAAATCGAATTTTGTCAGATCGTTGTGTAAAAATCAACGTTTTAGTGATAGTAGATAATCTAGCGACCCTTAATCCCTAAAGAGGGTGTGGTTCGGCCCGTAACGTGTGGTCTAAGTATTACTCCCTTTACAATTGTGTGACATGAAGCGTTTTTTACGATTCAATAGACCATTTTGTCTTTTTCACGTTGTTTTCGCCAAGAAATGCGCCATAGCGTCGAAACGGTACAAGATAGAGCGAAACGGACGAAATTTTCGCCCAGGGGGTTCTACTTTCACGAGTTACCCATTAGGAGACCTATAAAAAATATTTGAAGAAAAATAATATTTTGTTACCTGTGGTTATTGATTTTTTAAAAAGTCAATTTTTGAGCCAGAGTGCTCATCTCCGAACTCGATCTGTCTTTTTATGATACAAAACGACCCTGAAAATCCCAGGTCGCTATCTCAATCCTTTCTCGAGTTATCGTGCGTACAGACGGACAAACAGACAAACAAACAGACAAACAAACAGACAAACAGAATGAAACTTTTCCGGTCAGTGGAGTTATGGGCTTCGCTAATCGCTCAGCCAACAAAGGACCATGTATTCGATACCTTAGACTAAAAGGCACGCAGCTCATCCGCGTGTTTCGAAGGGCACGCAGTTCAGCCGCCCGTTTCGAAAGACACGCAGTTCAGCCGCGCGTTTCGAAAGACACGCAGTTTACCGCTATAGAGATAGGAACTGCGTGTCTTTC